AGCAGTGGCCAAAGGCTGGCACCTGCATTTGGCCCAATTGACTGCCATCCTCTCAACCAGGTGCTGCAAGTTGCCAAATTTTCTCTCTGAGACCTGTTAAAAGCTGTTGTTCCCACCTAGMTTATGTATATTTCTCCTTTATTTAGAAAAACCTTCATCCATTTTATAAATACAAGTGTATGCATATATATATATACACACACACACTCATACATTATAAATAAAAGTATATTTTGTGAAGGAGGAGACTTTCAACCTGTTCTAGCTATTTGTTCCAGTGAATTTACTTTTGTTCCAGCAGATTTCTAATTAGTAGAAGACATTTCTTTTAGCAGAAGCCCTGAGGCACTCCTGGGAGTCTTGCAGGACTTCAGAGCAGGAGTTTGTGAGCCCTGGCAAGATGATGTTGTGCATGTCCCAAGGCAGAGGGGTTTTTTTATGTGTTTCTGGAGCTACACAAAGGTCTCGAGGTCAACAGTTTGGATTCAGAGGCCTCACTGTTGTTTTAGATGCTTTAACCTCTTGGCAAATCTCTTCAGTCCTTCTTCTCACCTTGTTTTCACAGCTGGCCAGTCCTTTTTGATTTAAAAACCACAAAGCAAAATTAAARTACTAGGATCATCCGTGTCGTTTGAAAACTCAGCCTCAAAAATAACCAGAAAGGTGTGYTTTCCTGTCAGTAACTAACTAATGCTCCTCATGGTAGGAGAGGAGCTCGTGTCTGTGCAGCCTGCTTAGCTGCTGCAGCCTTCAAGCAGGCAGAGCACAGTGCTCTGATCAAATTAACTTGTCTAACACCTGCCCAAATAGCTTCTCAACTGGCTTGGGTAGCCCCAGCCAAGTTTAATTTTAAATTTCAGTTTAATTTCAAGTCAACAGAGGCTGGTCTGTTGTCCCCATGGCTGGTATAAGCCATGGCTGGGAATCCTACTATGAACCAGCCATCCAAGTGCCAATGGCTACATGGACATTTTTATAGAAGGAGCCCAAGGGGCAGCTTCTCACATGACAGCGTTTTCACATTAAAATATGGTTCATGTTGGACAGGGCTTTCTGCTTTTGTTGTACTGCTCCCAACATTTCCTTCTCTTTTATTTTTAATATTGATCCTGTACCTTGTGGAAAGGAAATCRCTTCAAAGCCTGTCTCTGGCTATCAGCAAATCATGGAGTCAGAGCTTCCCATAGATCCTCCAACTATCAAAGCAAYGAAAATCCTCCACTCACATTGTCATCGAGCTGCCTCTTGTCTCAGGAAAGTGACCGCACCTCTTTGGGGCAGGGCCTTAAATTAAAACATTGTCCTTCTTTCTTGCTCTTAAAACACTACTGCGGAGACTCAGCTGGCTAAGGAAGAGATGAATTTTTTCCTCCTGCTGGAATTTTTCACTATAACCATCCTCAGGGGACTTCTCATCTTCAAAAGAAACATTCCTTCTATACAAGCTGCAAAAAGAATTATTTAATGACATCATAAATTAATAGAGAAGCACAATTTTTCCAAAATGTGAAGAGAAAAAAAAAAAAAAAAGAAAAAGAAAAAGAAAAGAAAACAGTGTTTGCCAAAAACACCCCAGCTCATCCAGACTTAGGCCTCTCTTGAGTGTCTGAGCTGCCAATGATRCCAAATTGAATCGCGGGGTTTTTGGCATGACTTAAATTTAGCTTGTTTAAATTTTGGCAAATATTCCTATTACTCACATACTCTGCAAGCTGATACAAATATTTGTTCTATTTAGAGTGAGGTCCAAACTCCGTGTTGGCATAAGTGCCGTTGGACTCAGTGGAACTAGGCTTGCTTGCGCCAGCATTAAATTTGGACCGTTACCTTAAAGAAAAACAGAATATTAAAAAAAGAAAAAAAAATCCCCTAGCCTGTTAGGCACAGATTAGAATACATCAATGGAAAACAGACCTCATATGTATTCAAGTTTTCCTTGCTTGCTAATTTTTGCCCTAATGCAATTTGTAATGGGCCTTGGTTTTCTGCGCTTGGGTCGCCGCTGCCCGCTAGGCTCTAACAAGCACCCTAGTCAGAGCGAGGACTGAAAAAGCCTTCAGAGCCGCGAAGGTCTTTGCATTCTTGAGGAGTAAGAGCTGTTTAAACTGTAGTAAATCAAACGTGGAAGCAGCGAGCATATTTGGGCTAATTTACGGCTTGTACAGGTTGTTAGGTCTTCTAATGATGGCCACGGTTTGCTCATGCCGACTGGAAACACAAATAGACCATTAACTTCCTGCCCCCAGAAGGGAGAGGCCGCAGTCCTGCAGGATGCTCGGATATGCCATCCGTAAGGCCCAGCAGCCAGGCAGGAGCTGCCCATTCATGGGCACCCATCATGGTACTGGAGAGTTGGAGCCTGATAAGGAGTCTCCAAGTGGAGCCACCATGGCCAAACCCATCCGGATGCRAAGGACGGGAGAAATGGGGTGGCCCTTGGGCGTCTCAATGGGACCTCACAAACAAGCTCTTGGGATCAGCCACACACAGCAGATTACAGATTTTGCAATGAAAAGAAATAAAAGAAAATTTAAAAAACCTTTTAGTCCCTCAACGAGCGGAACCACGATGTGCTGCCAGGACACGATAGCGATGGCTTCGTGCTCAGCCTGAGAACGGTTTGCGAGCGGAGCGCTACTCAAATGCTTTCCTAAACGTCAAGCAGAAGCAGGCTCCAGCTCCCTTCGCTCCTGCCATTTGGAAATCGGAAATCTAGCCTGAGCTACAGAGCTCCATCCCGCTGCGAGTGGAAAAAGCTCATCAGCAGGGAGTGAGTCATCCCACGTTAACCTAAATGTCTGCCATGAACTTCCCCTCTCTCTCTCCGTTGACTATAAAAGGAGTCTAGATGACCGGATTACCGGAGAGCCAAATTATGGACATTTATGTGCTAACTCAGCCTCCTGCAGTTGTGTTCTGGACTGACAGATGCCGTGTGCTGTTGTGAAAAAGCGACACTAAGAGTGTGCCCCTTGCTGTGTGATTATCCGGAGCACTTGCTTAGCTCCAAGGCTAGCTGGGAACATCAGCAATATTTGTAAAATAAGCAAAAATATGCAGATTAACTTGTCCTTTGGGCCYATAAATTTGAAGATGAAGTTGTAGCGTTTGTCTCACCTAGAGCTGGCTCGGTGTCTTTATGACTCGAGCTTTGCATATTCGGGTCCGTGGCACCCTTGGACCTTCCCTGCCTGCCGCACGGCCCTCCAGTTCCTCACAGCTGTTCGTCCCTGTAACCGAGCTGCACGCGAGGACGGCAGCAGCACCTCGGTGTTCGTGGTCTCAGGCCAGGGGCTGCTTTGCTTAGCCCAGCGATGCTCCTTGCAGTCAGATCAACTCATGCACCAATTGAAAAAAAGAGATAACACCCCACAAAAATGCAAAAAAAAAAAAAAAAAAACCACCAAAGCAAGCAAAAATCCCTTAGCATTGCAGCAGGCAGCTATAATTTGCCCACATAGCGATGCTCTGGTGAAATGGTCAAGTGTGAGTGAGGGATCAGTGCCAGGAGGGGAGAGAAGCCAGACAAAACACCCAAGGATTCCACRGGGAACAGTTTTACACTAATTATTGAAATGCACCCAGAGACGGTTTATAGCAGTAAAATGACTTTATGTTCTGATATGTAAAATAAAATGTCCATGCTATGTAACAAACATTTCAAAAATTCCACACCACCTGTATCTAATGTGGTTTCTAATAAAGATTTATCTGTAGCATATATGATTTTTATCTAACCAATTCTTAGTTTTTACATCAAAGGTGTGTAATAAAAAAATCTTAAATAGATGTCTTTCCAAAAAAAAAAAAAAAAAAAAAACCTTGCAACATTCATTTTTATTATTTCACTTGTAAAAAGCAAAGCTGAACTGGACACGTGGCCTGCATTTGTGATATATATATATACTTTTATATATATATATATAATATATATATGTATATAAATAGCTATTCAGCATGCAAAAAAATGGTAGTGATTTTCCAAGATCTGGTTACAAGACCCACGCCGGTGCGGGCACATCGGCTCGTCCCATCAGAAACGCACCTTGGATCTGGTGGCACCRAAACGGGGTGGGAAGGAGCCAGTCCAAGGCACTTCCATGGAAACCATCGGATTTTTACCTGTTCTACAAGTACTTGGACGCTGTAAAGTCCGACAGGGAGCGGGAGCTCTTGGTCCTCCCTTGGTTAAGGAAATATTTYTCTGTTGACTCCTTTATGCTAAGAACAGTTCCCTCTGATTTATCTGCAAAAGGAAGAAGAAAAGTACCCAAACTCATAGCCCAAAGAGGARCACAGCAGCCGAGCAGGAAAGAAACGGGGGACCAGCTGATACAGGAAGTATTAGCGACTTTTAAGCTTAAACTTCATAAATATATTGCAAAAAAAAACAGAAAAAAAGCAAGTGTGGTTCGATCCATGGAGGCGCCAGTGCTGTCTGGGCGCCGCTGCAGGCCGGGGTGCYGGCGTGGCCCTGTCGAGCACCCTTTTTGGGGAGAGAAGAGGCATTTCTGGTGGTGGCTCCCGCGTTGCCGGAGGGGTCGGTGCCGCTGTGTCCATCCTGGAGCGAAGCCAATGTGGAGACGGGCCGCTTTTCCCTTTGGTTTTCCTTTCCTTCTCAAACATCCTCCAACTTTTTAAAGGCTTCTCTGCCTTGGCAAACACACCCCAAAAGCAAACCTGCTTTTTTTAATTCTTATTTCCGTTTTTCCCCCGAATTGCCCGAAATCTGCTCACGGACGCCCGGCGCTTCTGAAAGGAGCAGTCGCTTCTCCCGCAGGCCACAGCAGCGGACGGGGGGACTCCATCCACCGGGAAGCCGCCCGGGAGCGCCGGGACGCGGGTGCTTTTTTCCAGGGCGCCGCAGGTGTCTCCCGTTGCTCTTCCTCCCCCCCATCCCAGCCCCGCTCCCGTCCCCGTGAAGCGTCCGCCYGTCTCGGCCGAGCGCAAGGTACCCGCGGCGGGTACGGAGAGGGAGGCGCCGGCGGCGGCCGCCGTCGTCACCCGTCGGCCCAGGCGTCGGCAGCGCCCATGGCGCCGTGGTAGGGCAGCGGCGGCTCCCTGGCCAGGGAGAAGCCGGGCGAGTAGAGCAGCTCGCCGGCGGCGTTGAGGTGCGGCGAGGGCGCCTTGCGCTCGCAGCCGGCGCCGTGGCCGCGCTCGCGCCCGAAGGCCGGCGCGGGCAGGCGCTCCCGCACCGCTGGCGCCAGCTGGTTGTAGACGCCGAAGTTGGCGCCCGCCGCGGCGCCCTGCCCGCCCAGCGCCGGCAGCCGCGGCATCACCGAGGCGGCGGCGGCAAAGTGCGCGGGGAAGGGCTGGTGATAGGGCACAGTCTCCACGGCCTGCACGCCGTAGCCGGCGTACGGCGACACCGAAGTCCACATGTTGCAGCCGGGCGGCGGCGGCGGCGGGGGCGGCGGCGGCAGCTCGTCCACCACGGCGGCCATGTCGGCGCCGGCGCCCGAGTACATGCAGGCCTCACGCGGCGCCACCTCGCCGCAGTAGGACGGGCTCAGCATGGGCTGGTCGTAGGGGGGAGGCGAGCGGAAATAATGGTCGTCGCCCACCGAGGACGAGGCCTCCAGGTAGGAGCGCTTGCAGGGCAGCTCCAGGTGGCGGGCGCTCTCTGTGGGGGGAGAAATAAGGAAGACGACGGCCCCCCCAGCACCAAAACCCTGCCCGGGGGCTTCCCAAAAGTGCTCCCACATGTCCCCCTGGGACAGCAGAAATGGGCTGAAATTCATTTTCTTGCAGGTCTTGCCTCCATGGTTGTCCCCGTGCATTCCCCACTTTYCCCCTCTAATGGAAGAGTCTGGACATGCCCTCCGTCAGACCAGACACCAGAAGGGGAAATGCACCATTTTCATTGCTCTTCCCACCCGCAACCTCCTGCAAGCCCGGGGGCATCAACCTCCTCGGTGCATCGGAAGCTCAAGCCACAGCCATGACAAGCCGGAGCCAACGGGGAGCTCCGGGCAACGCTCGCCTCCCCGCACGCTCCCGTTTACCTCTTCTCTTGAGGCAGTGGTAGAAGAGCCCCGACTCCCGCGGTGCGCTGAAGGAGTTGAGCGGCAGCTCCTGCGCCTCCGCCGCGGCGAACTGCATGTGAGCGCCGTTCTCGTACTGGAAGTGCTGCAGGGCCTGGTGGCTGCCGTGCAGCGGGCTCACGTCCGCCTTGGCCGCCAGCTGCCCGTGCGACGACACCAGCCGCTGCCTCATGATGCTCTTGGAAATCACCGGGTACTCTTTGCTGCAGGAGGAGGGGAGAAGAAGTGTTGTCACCTTGTGCCACGGGCACAAGCCACAGCACCCGCCTGCCTTCCCCAGGGCATTGCCAAGGRTGTCCTCATGCCCATGCAGCAACACTGGTTTTCAGGAGGCTTTTCAGAGCATTAAGCCTCCTGTCACGCAAAGCCAGCCAAAGCAGGTTTGGCAGCTCTGTGCCAGGCACCCTTGGGCAGCGCACAGCAGCGTCGCTACCTTTGCAGACGAGCCACGCGCAGGTCRCTGTCGTCACTGCCCCGGAATCCCTTTGCGAAGGGGTTGTTCTCGATTTTGAGCTGGGTGATCTTTGAGAGAACAAAAAATGAGCGTAAGACCTTTGAAAACACCTTGGCAGTTGGGTCTGCAGAGCATGTCACAGCCCGGCAGTGCTTTCATGTCCGGAAAAGTCAGAGCAACAGCTGAGAAGTTTGGGGTAGACCCAGCAGAGGYGGCTTTGAAAGCTCATGGAATTGCCCATCACGAAGGAGGGCAGGAACTCCAAGAGTTGGGACCCAGGAGTTCCCTTTTGTCGCCTCTCTGAGGCTGGGATTCGCTCGGGCAAAGCAAATGCAAGGTAGCTTCCTTGCAGGAGCTTTTCCTGAGAACTAAGGCTTTTTGGTGCATTTACCCTAAAGCTGCCTGTTCCAAGCGGGTGCACCCTGTGCCCCATGTCCTCGGCCGCCAACGCCTGCCCAAGAGTGTTTGTGTGTCGATGGCCTTCGAAGTAGTCAGTTTATGGAGCACTTTGGGCACCTTGGGGATGAAAGGCACCATTGACACGCTAGGCAGTTTAAGGAGGTATTAAATAAGCTCCCTCGTGCTTTTTTGGTTAACCATGTTTGGGCAACTGGTCATTTTACACTGACAGCTACAACTTTTCAAACAGGATTCGCCTGCGTGCCCGAATAGGAGACTTCTATTGCTTGTCGTCCCACAGTGCACACAACCCCTCTGAGTCTTTTAACTGACTCAGTAATTGCAAAACTTTGCAAGGCCTCTGCGTTTGGCTCTTGCACCAAGGGCTCTTGCACCAAGAGCATCCTACTCCAGAGGAAAAGGGCAGCCACATTCCTGGGCAGGAAGGATTTCATGGAGGTGTTTGTTTCTGTTGTTATTTCCCTAGGAACGTGCGAGGAGAAGGACGACACAATAACGTGTGGCAGATGCATGTGGTGCTGTGGCAGCTCTGGAAGTGCTACTTTCCTCTGAGCTTTTATTGAGAAATCCTGATGCACTTGGGAAAAAAAATGCAGTTAACTGTTAAGTATAACCCAGCATCACAGGCAGCATTGGCTGCATCTCTGGGCTTGCTCAAGGCCTGGGTGGCTGGGAGGGGAACTGCCTCTCAGAGGAGGCTGTTTCTGGTGCACAACGGCCCCATCAAAACCCGGCGCTCGCAGCTGCATTTCCCTGCGCTCTGTCGGAGACGGGGAAGTGCCTCCGAGTCCCTGCCTACCTTGTGGTTCTGGTAGGACGTCACGGAGATGAAGGAGGTCTCCGGGAAGACGTGGGTGCAGAAGGCCGTGTTCTTGGAGCCGAACGCGTTGTTCTCGTCCGCCTTCACGATGTGCAGCCGCGGCTGGTATTTGTGCATGGAGTTCAGAATGATCTGCAAAACAAGGGATGCTGAAAATGAGAAAGACGATAAAATAATAATCGTAATAAAATAAAAGGCAAAGGACTCAGCTGTGGGATAGAGTTTGCTAATGGGGGGTTTGCTAATGGGAGTTTGCAAGCAGACTGCCATGGCGCTGCCAAGCTTTAGCTTTGCTTTCAAACTAGGAAACAAAAACATTATATAAATGCATGCAATCTGGGACAGACAATCTATCTGCCTTTTAGGGATGAGCTTTTGGGCTGAGCTTGAAGCTTTTCTAGGCAACTCTCATTTTCTTACTGCTATTGGACGGAGTCATTCTGGAGAGCATTAATCAAAACTCTTTGTCTTTTTTCTCCCAGATCATGTTGCTGCTGCAACACTTAATCTTCCTGCTGCTGGAAGAGGCTCCGGCGTGGGCAGAACGAGCCCCTGCACCACGGGCAGCTTCGCTGCTGCATTGCTCGTGCATTAGAGCCAGTTTTAAATGGGAATGACTGCAGAGGAGGAGACCTCAGCTCCGTGCTCAGGAAAGCTCTCCCCTTGCCGTGGGTTGGGTCTCCCAACCCCTTCATCTGGCCGCGCTGCCCACGGTAGCTGCCTGCGTCGTCTACCACTTAAATGCAGTTTTTATTGTTGACGTTTTCCAGACGACCCTCCCTGCTCCCCAAGAGAGAGGAGGAGGAATTTTTGGCATTTTATCAGCTTTGCACCACGTCTACTGGCCACTYGGCTGCCGCTGAGCGGCGAGGAAGGGATCCGAGCGGGTCGGCTCAGGTTTTGGGTCATAGCCTTTTCCCTGCTTTCATGTATCACGAAACAAAGCCGGGAGGAGCGAGGCCGGCCGTGGAGGGACGAGATCCTCGTAAGAAGGGATATTTTGATTCTCAACAATTCAGACTTGAGGCCAAGCTGGCCAGGGTACTGTCTGGATGCCGAAACCCAGGTCTCCCAAGGCCCAGAGACACCACTGAGCTAAGAAAACACCTGGAGTCCAGGAAAACAGAGACCCCAGAGCCCTTTAACACCCGCCGCAGACACAGTCGCTCCGGAGCAGCAGGAACGACCCTCAAGCTACACCGGCCCCTCGTAAAGTCACTTTTTGGTACCCTCCTTGAGCCTAGCGAGGGGATGAGGAGCAGTTTTCCACAGAGCTCCGCTGGCTACCGCAGGATCCGTGCCCACAGCTCTGCCCTTTCCTTCTTTCTGCAGCTACCATTCCACACCGCCATAGCTTTACACGCCTGAAAAATCCCTCCCTGTTCACATTCGATTTAAACGTGTACTCGAAAATCATACAAATAATAAAAAAAAAAAAAAATGCCAAAAACCTTAGCTGCCTGCGCAAAGCCCACTGCCAAAAATCCAGACTAAATAGTTTTAAAGGCTGCTGYGGAAAATTGTTCAGTGTGATTGGCTAAAAATACCCAAAACAAATGTAAATTCCACTGCAGTGACGTGCGGCCGTGGAAATGGGAACTTTAAGAATTGTGGCAGAAATTGCAGCTATTTTAATTGAACGGGCTGAGCGCGACTGCGGCCCGGGTGCTGGTGCAGGCAGGAGCCCACGAGCCGAGATGGGGATTTTTAGCCACAGAAACCTCTTAAACGGGACAGAGGCTCACCAAGGAGCTCGCAACCTGATGTTTCCCCCAAAATGACAGCAAAATAGGAATTTTCTCTTTTCCCTTGCTTAGCTTTCTTATTACAAGGGCCCCGGGAGATTCAAATACCAACCCGCACGTCTCGGAACTGCGTTTTCAGGTCAAACTCGAGCACGGTGGGAACATCAGCTGCTAAAACCCAAACAGGGCTTGGCTGGCCCTGCTGCTCTATACASTGGCTGATGGGATATTACTTAGCAGGTAATTGATATAATAAAGGTCAAGGATACAAAATTAGTAAGAAGAATGGAAAAAATGGTACTTCTTATCCAGCTCAACATGTGCACAGCTGAAAAAGCCTCTGCAACTAGCTGAGCTTTTCCCTTCAGCTTGCAGGAGATGTGCTCATASTGGGCAGCCTGATGCATATTTTTTTTCTGTATATGAAAAAAATCAAAAATTAAAAATTAAAAAAACCACGACAGAGTGGGTGAGATATTTCAAGCAGGTTTCTCAAATTAGTTGGCTTGAACCCATACGTAGAAACACAATGCTGGATTGATGCTGGGGCATGTGGGGATGCCAGCTCCACCGTCACGGCACTGTCTTGGCCTGGAAAATGCACCAGGCTTTCGGAAAATAACACATCTGATTAAAAACAAGAAAAAAAAAAAATCCCAACCCCAAAAACACATCCAGCAGTGATGACCCGAGCGCCCACGTGCCGGGCAGCAGCTCGTGCAGGCACTGCTTCCCTCCCATCGCACAGCTGGCAGCAGCTGCAACTTAAAAAAAAAAAAATCTACTTTTCTTCCATTTTTTTGGCATTCCCCAGCCAGCAACAAATGTCAAAAAAAAAGTGTCATTTGCTCCTTCCATTTAATTTTTCTTGGGGAAACATCTCCCTTTCGCCTGCAGCCTCGCAGGCTGCCGCGGGCTCGACGCAGGACCGGGACGCGGCTCGCTCGGGTCGGGGCTGCATCACTCGCTGCAATGCAAACCTGCCGCCAAATTGCTGTAAAAAAACCCTATTTACTTGATTCTGAAATGCGGGGAGTTGATTTAAGAGAGCTCCCTGTTCCTCCAAGGTATCGTATGTCATATGATGCAGGGGTTGCTACAGCAACTGCCCTTTTTATATTGAATAGTAAATGGCTACGAAAAAGCCACATAATTGTACGGTTGCTCCCAGGGGATCGCATAACTAATATAAAATCTCTCATTTTAATATATTCTCTGCTTCTTTCTTCCTTCTTTCTATTCTTTGTAAGCACCGAAAGCCTTTGAGCCGGGGAGGGAGCCAGTGCAGGGCCGATCCACACATGCCGGACATGGAGCCGGGAATGGCGCCCGCAGCCAAACCTAGTGCTGGAGGAGGGAAAATTCAGCAGCCCCAGAGTTCGGCACCAGCTTCACCCAGTTTTCCTGCTCGGGATAACTCTGACATCCACGGGGAAAGGTGGACACGAAGCAAAGCTTTCCTTCCCTTTACATTACGGGAGAGGAAAAAAGAAAGGCTGGAAAATCCCAGGAAAAGGTTCAATTTTTGAGCGCAGAAAAATTATTCCTCGTGCCAGGGCCAAAGCTGTGATTTTTTTTTCCCCTTTTCCTCTTTTCTCCGACCTTTTTCACCTCATATCAGAAATGAAATTCCCTCAGTGCATCAGATGCAGGGGCATCCACAGGAGCATGGGGCCATCACTGACCCGCCTCCTAATAGACTTCCAAGAAAATCCCTGCAATTCGTTCGGATAAACCAGTTCCAGCAAAAGGAGGTAGCAAAAGGATGGGAGCATCTCTCCAGGCAATCCTCAATAGCTCTCGCTGCACCCGCTGCAAAGCCGACCGGTCACCGTGTTGCTCCGTTTTGGGCTTTATAGCGTATTTGTGCACTGGTGTTTGTCGGATCAGCTGCAAAACATTGCCTAAAATGGATGTTTTTAAAAAAAAAATAAAAATAAAGTCCTTGCTTGGCGGTTCTGTTGGCAGAGGAAGACTTAGTGATCTCCCCCCAAAACAGGCTGTGCTGTTCAACTTCAGGGCCAGACAAAAGCCATTTTACATTTGAAGCAGACTGAGAGAAAGCCAAATATGAGGAAAAAACATGGGGCAGAGCCTGAGCCTGTGGAGCTGCTGTGCCGAGCACGGAATGCTGCGTGCGAGGGAGATGTGGGCTACGGCGAGCAAAACTGCATCTAAATACAAATACCCAACATACAAATAAAAGTCTAAACAAAATATATAATAATAAACCATAGGATTAATAGGGCATTTACATCATTAACATGCTGGAGTGTGCCTACCAAGCAGAGACAAAAAAGGGCTAAAATCAGATTATTGGAAAAATAAGAGGAAAATTCCAAGACTAAGCAAAAAAAAAAACCAAAGTCTTTCATTGACCATTAAACAAAACCAAACGAGCAGATAATAAATATGGGGAAAGTAAGGAAACTCCTCAGCATTAAGGAGCAAAGCAGCCGATTCAGAAGAGGACAAGGAGAAAGCTACGGCTTCCTCCAGCTTCCTCCAGCTCTGTTCTTCCTCGTCGCAGTCGGGCACGTGCCTACTGCCCTTATTTTATCCATAAGGATATTTTTGCACATTTTCTAGAAAGCAACTGGTTTCCAGCAGACCCGGCTGCGGGTTCTGGGGAAAACCACGTTGSAAAAGACACGTGCCAGTGGGGTTCCCCAGCACATGGATGGACGGATGGACACTGGCCATCCCGCCATTTACACACACTAAGTTCTTTGAAATAATTCAAAATTTCTGTCTTTTTCTATTTCAAAATAAGAGCCTGGGCATTCAAGGGCAAGGATAAGGCTGGGACCAAACAGTGGGGACAGGGGACAGCATCCCCAAAGAGACCCAAGCTCCGACGCTGCGCGGGCAGCCAGGGAGCTGCAGAGACATTTGGGGGTTTTTTCTCCCCTTTTCCTCCCAAATTAAGCACCTGCCAAAAAACGGTTAAGGCAGCAGAGGGGCTGCTCGGCGCCTCCCCCTGCCTCCTCCGCCCGCACCGCCTGTGCTCGCTTCCAGAGCCGGCATTCAGCACCTGGCKGAGCGGAAAATCCCAGCGCCGGAGCCGCCGTTCCTGGCTGCTGCTCTGGGCTCCGCTTGGCTTTCCCTGGGATGCGGAGGGATCGCGACGCCCCAGGGATGGGGTCCCCGGAGCGTGCGGCGCTCGGGTTGCAGGAGCTGGCCAGGGACGGCGCTTCGCAGGAGGAGGTATTTATTAAACAGGGGGAAAAGGGGAAAAAAAACCATTGTCCCTGYGAAAATTGCAGTTAAAACAACACAAAACTTAGGAGAAGCTGACATTGAAAGCAGCACCGCGTGCGCTGCTGGGTTTAGGGCACACTCACGTTTCGCAGCACAAACAGCTCCGTCACCAGCCAAAAAACAGAGGTGGGAAGAAACGCCCCAGGCGACGCAAGCCAGGCCGGCCCAGCTGCCCGGAGCCGGGCTCGGSCGCCCGCTGCGTTAGGCGATTTTTGCTTGGAAACCTTTTGCACCRAGTTCGAGCTTGTTCCCTGCTCGGGAGCGGAGCCGAAGGCGCTGCGATGGATAACAGCGGCCCGCGGCCTTTCAAGCTGCCRGGGGGGCACAGCTGGATGGGGGTTGGCTCCCTGCTCGCTCCTGCACAAAGCCAGGTTATTACCRGCCCTCTGCTGCAAAATTGACTGATGCAGCAAAAATCCCGGGATTTTCACGACCTTTTATGTCTTCAGTTTGGAAACAGGTAGCGGGAGAAACTGCCCYGCTTCCTAGGGCTGCACCCAAGGCTGCTGCAACCCAGGGTGCCCAAAATCCTCCATCCCCCCATCACTGCRGGCAGGGGGGTTGTGAGCCTGCCTATGCTCCAGATCTTATATTTCCGAATAAAATCCTCCGCCTTTTCCAACAGCAGCTTGGTGGAACCTGTGTTGGGCTGTGAATGGCCCGGGAGGATCAGGAAGCCCCCAGCTCTGCTCTTACGTGTCCGAAGGGGTCCAGGTGGTTGTTGGTGAGCTTCAGCTTCTGGAAGGAGACGAGCTGCCTCATCCAGTGGGCTCCCGTGGCCGGCGAGTCGGGATGCACGTAGAGGCGCCCCGGCATGGCCGGCTCTGCCTTGCCCGCCACCATCCTGCAAAGACAGCGGGTCAYGCCGGGCACAGCGCTGCCACCAAACGCCCTTTCCCAGCCCAAATCCAGGGGGGACGGCAGCACATTGGGATGTGCTGTAAATTGGGTGAGGAAGCAGCGAAATCATTGAAGGATGGGACAGAGTGACAGTGCAAAGGGCTCCTTCCTACTGCTGTGAGTGTGGCATTTCTGTGTCCCCCTATTTTCCTGATTTTCACAGATATYGTGGTCCACCAGCAGCCCCTGCACTGCTGCCTGGGGTTCTCCTCCCGTGACACCCACTAAGAGCAACATTCCCCCAAAACAGCAGCGAGGACGTTCCARCAGCCATGGAACGAGCAAGGGAAGTGGCTCCAGGGCTGCCCAGAGCCCTGGGATGGACTCAGGGTCAAGGAAATTATTGCATTTTTCGATAGCATTCCCATTATAGTGTTCCTATAGATTTCTATAAGTTCCTGTTAAAACCACAGTGAGGTCTCTGCTCTTTGTCTTGCCTATGCAGCAACTGGGCACAATTTTGGGGGAAAAAAAAAAAAAAAAATCACAAGATGCAAAGAAAGGTACTTCCTTCAAAGAGCCATGGAAGGGAGGATGTGTAAGAGGGAAAGAAACGCTGGATGGAGAACAGTAGATTAAAAGAGGGAAAGAAATCCCRTGGGGGTTGGCAGCAGGAAGGGTCTCATGCCACCGGATGGCCGCAGTGCCCCGCGAGAGCGACCGTCCGGCCGTGCCGGGGCTGCCCTCCCAAAGCAAATATGACGAGGAAGGAAGGAATTTGGAGCCGGAGCGCAGGCCAGGCCRGGCCTGGGCAGCTGCTTCCCGCTAACCGGCGCTTGACCTGCCGCGGGCCTCCGGAAGCAGAGTCCCGTCCCACCAAGGGAATGGATGTCACTCCGCTTGCCGAGCTCGCAAACGGTTGGCAGCCCCAGAATTCTCCGTTTTATGAAAAAAACACCCCTTACCATTTGTTGTCRCAGAACTTATAGCGGTGGTCATCAGCAGGAACGATGTCGATGAGCAGGATGTACTTGGTCTTGGGGTTCATCCCAGTCACCTTGACCTTGTAGCTTGGGAACATCCTCCTTATGGAAAGCAAAGGGAAAAAGCATCAGTGTGGGGGCCAAAACAGCAGCGTGGGGACCCCCCYGGCCAGGCTGCGAGGGGACAATGCTGGGAGTCTTGCCCTTGCCCGGGTGCACCTGGAAGTGATGCCAAAGCCAGGGCAGCCCGCTGAGACTTCAGGGTCCYGTCCACTTCCATGGACACCAATCTAGCCCACCAGGGAATTTGCATGCAACGGTGCATTATCAAAGTATATTTTTATGCATATAATATAATATATTGCATATTTTTATGCATTGCAAATAAGGAGTATTTGCACTATTACAGACTCTGTTACTCTACAGCTATGGCAGCGACACCGGCACATGTAGGCACGGTCTGACATGATGAACTGGAGCTTGTCCGATGGGTGCGAGTGCTTCCAGGCCTTTCCTCAGCACTACGGATCCAGCCAGCCTGGGACTTGCACGATTGCACCTTAAACCCCCTGAGCAACCTTCTTCTCAGCCGCGTATCAACCCCGTCCCGTTCTGCCATCACTGCCGGGGGCTGTTTTGAAGGCAACTTCTCACTCCCTTCTGCCCYGCGAGCACCTGCACAAATACAGCCCCATTCACTGCCCAGAAACACAGGAATCCAACCCCCATGCCAAGAGTTCTAGTTTTTTAAATAATTAGCCCTCAAAAATATTTTTTTTTAACAAAACCAAAGAGGAGGAATTGATCAAACATCCAAAATGTGACGGCCGCATCGGGCTGAGTCGCCCTGGCAGGATGCTCCACAGCCGGGATTTTCCTAGCATCCAGCTTCTGAATTTCCTTCTGCCCAATCACTCCATACACCGTGGCACATCCCCACTGCTAAAGTAGCTGGACTGATATATTGTAAATGTTAAGTGCTTTTTTAATGGCATTTAAAATTAAGCTTCAGCATATGGAGCTCATATAGCATAGACATGCCTGAGTTTATAATGTTCTTTAGTATAGCCCCCTAAAATAAATACAAAGAGCCAAAGTACTACCATAATATATACAGCCCGAATTCTTTACGGATAACAAATGGGAACTCGCATCTGATGGAAGGTGTTGCTTAACTTGCAAGCTGCCGAGTATCTCGCAGTGGTAGCATTGCGCTCGGCAAGGCAGCAGCGCGGGACGCGCCGGCGTTTGCCAACTCGCCGCATTCTTTTCCAGGAAAACACGGGGTAGATATTAGTAATTTGGCTGTGCACGGACATTTCATCATTATTATTAGCTGCTGCATTTTAGCCTTTAAAAAGAAAGAGGAGGGGAAAAAAAAAGATGCAACGAATGTGCTGTCCAGGGACTTGTCAGTATAATTTTCTTAATGAAAACATATTTCTCAACCCTTTGGCAGAGGCTCATTTAGCAAATATCTCTTTGCAACATGATACAAATATGGGCTGTGTGTTTCTGCTGGGGAGATGCAACAAGCCCACGGTCCAGCTCCAAAAAGGTGCACTCATGAATTTGCCATTAAAAAAGAAAATAAGTGAGCAAGAGCACCCAACATCACATCCCGACTCTTCCTATAACTCCCTGTTGGAAGCACGGGAGCCAAAAGAGCAAGCTTGGCCAGAGGAGAGCAACGGGCTACAGTGGGGCTATACAGCTCACTGGCAAGCCCTGGGAATTGGCCAAAAACCTGCCTGCTCACCCAAATTTACTGCAGGTCAATGGAGCTACTCACAGCAAGCAGCTCTTTGCTCAGTAGTGACTTTGCATAAGCTGCTCCTCTGCCAAGTCTCTGCAGGCAGAAATCCTCTCACAGATGGGCGTTCTCCATAGAGAAAAAGTGCTATTCTCTCGCTCTCCTTTTTATTTGGCAGCCACCAGATTTCCTTGACAATAGCTTGCTTCATCCTCCATCGCTCACGGCTCCAAAAACGCTGAATACTCCAGCGGGCATGCAAAAAAATCACCAGCRTCTTCCCCAGCCCAACTGGGAGAGCTGGGCTCAGCTTTCTGAAACCCATTGCAGGGGGACGGGGCTGCAATGCCAAGGCTTCCCACACATCCCTGCACAATCCCCGCAGCCCTTTTCCCGCTATCCGRAGACGAGCCAAAGCAGGACACAGCCGCACATCAGGAGGAGAYGGGCTTGTCCCAGCACAGCATCCCCGGCAGGGATGGCAGTAGGAGGGGGAGCTGAGCCAGGCAGGGGCTGCCTGTGAAAAACAGCCCATTTGTCCCCAAAATGGAGGCACATTCAGGAGGCATCACTGGTGGGAAGCTGGGATGCTCCAGCTGGCTGCCTGGTGGGAATGACTACAGAGCAGTCCGCTGCGGAGTTTCTGGGCTTGTTTCTTGCCCTTTTTGCTCTGTTTTAAGCATCAAAGTAGGACACRTGAACAAAGTTTAAGCACAAAGTAGGACAGCGTCAGTGCTGGGTTCTTCTCCAACCCCCCTGCACCACCCTCAGCCAGGTTTGGTGCCTGGAAAAGGCCCATTTCCCCCCAAAACGCCACTGTGCCAGGCAGAGCCACCGGGACGCAACGGCAGCTCTCGCCAGCGCCCAGAAGGCAGAAGCGAGAGGAGTTTTTACAATCACACGGCCAAGGACAGCGAGTTCAGGAGAGAAGGGATGGAGATGCCATTAGAGCAAGGGACACACACAAAAGAGCTGAAATACCCCGCCCTGGCACCATGGCTTTAGCGTTGCAGCCCAGTGTGTGTCCACTATCCCCAGGGACASTGTACGTGGCCTCGGGAAGGCCACCGGGGCTGCCCCCGAGCTCCACAGCCCCAGCAAAACCCTGCCCTGCAGCCCCAGGCAGATGAAACTTCGCAAAAACAGTAAAAGCCAGGAAAATAAACAAGCAGCAAAACTCCACAGCCCTCCCAAGCTTCAAAGATGATGTGCCAGTGAATTATTTGCTCTGATAGCAAAGCGGGCCCTGCTTAGCTGAGTTTATGCTAGATCCATTTTATCTCTCCATGATATTCACAAATTGTTTTAAAATGAGCTGTTAGAATAAGCATCTCTTGTTTATTTATTTATGCTATGGCTATCCACTCCCTTCTGTCTCAGGGCAGTTACTGACGTGGAGCCAAAGCCTCTCTGATGTTCAAACAGAGTTTAATTAATGTGTAATTGGCTGGTTGGCTTAGCAAGCGAGCGATAAGCAGCAAAGCAGCGCTCACATTTARGACACAAGTTCCCAGCCTCTCAGGCTCCTTGGGCTTGGCTGCCTCTTATCCAGCTCCACAGGATCGGGCACGCATGGGAGCCAGTCCTGCTGGGATGCGCAGAGGCAGCATCCCATGGACAAGGGGCTTGGTTTGAGTGAGGGATGAGAACCAAAACACTGGAGATGATGGAGGAAGCAGGGATGTCCTCCTGGAGCAGGCTGAGCCAGACTGTATTCCACCAACGTCATCTCTGGTGCTGCCCATGGGCAGGGGTAGGTGGCCAGGGAGGAGGCCATAGGAAACCTGCCTTGGATCTCCCTAAGGAAAACCACCAGGAACCAGACCCTGGGGTCCCAGAGGAAACATCAAACCCACCTTTGGCATCTCTAACCCATCCATGTCAAGATGAAGCCCAGCTCTCCTAAGCCCCTTCAATAGGGCAGATTTCCACACACTGCTGGTGACATCACGACCCCCATTGGGGATGGCCAAGCAAAGCTACCTAGAAGGCACCAAATTGCTGGAAACTCCTGTAGGGAACTTGGGAAAAGGTGACGTCTACGACACAGCAAGCTGGGAAAGGCTTGGGAAAGCAAAACAAAACCTTCCAATGTGCTGGGAAGCCTTGCTTAAAAAGTCCTGCCTTGGCTGGAAGAACAACTCCTCAAGAGCAGCTGGGCACGTAAAGACCCATCCAGCGGCGCTGTCCAAGCACCGAGCCAGATTACACACCTAAATCCCCCGGAAGGAGCAATCTGGCCCCAAACTCAGCTTGAAAACGGGCCCTGGCAGTTCACGAACGCTCTTCCTCATCTTCCTCCTCCAGGAGGGAGGGAAGGGAGCACGGATACACCAAGCACCACGGCTTCATTTTGATGACCCTTCTTGCTTTTTTCCTCCCGCAATTTCCCTTCATCTGACAAGTATTTCTTCCACTGACTTAACGCATCTTTAAAAATAATATTCTCTGGGGTAGATTAAAACAAATTTGGGGATGTCAGCTGTTCCTTTTAGCTCTTTAAAATGGCATTTCCTCCTTGATAGATTCTTGCTTTCAGAAAATACTTTAGACGAGATCAAAGCGCTCTCCAACACGGTCCCATTTTCCCAGTGTATCCTAACCCTGCCGTCCCTTATTCCTCTTATCACCCGCGCCGCTCCGCTATGACGCTCTGTATACAAAGTAAGAGCCGTTAACTTTGAAGTGCTGGATTAGCCCATGCCAGATCCTTGCCTCAGAATAACAAACAATACAGGTTCAACAGGAGTTCTCATCAGTAGTTCATTTTTCAGCCCCAAATTCACTGTCACTAACACAAGCAACATTGAACTCGCAGCCCGCGGGCCGATAGCGGAGATTGATCTGGTGGCAGGACCATGACCTAGTGATGAGAAGGTCAGACAGTTAGGGAATTTTTATATTTTGGCATGGGGACATTATATATATAAGTATATATAGATATACACTTTTTTGCTGGCTAGCACATGCGATTTTTTAAATAAAACATTGTTTCTCACGTACTCAAGACCTTGGTTAACTGCTTCCTTGGTCCAGAAGTACTTCCTTTCCATGGCCCCCAGTAACTCCAGGCACAATGGGATGCTGCTCCGGATGCTCCTCCACATTCCGGCCCRTCAACATCTTCATAGGCCGGCATTGCCCTTGCATGCTTAGCCATCGACACCCCCAATTTTTAACATACCCAAAGCAGCAACCGATGGTTGAAAACAGGAGCATATATAAAAAAATCCCACAGCCCGGCCCCGCTTGGCATCCGAGTGCTCGGGTTCGCTTGCCAAATCCGTTGACATCTTGGGCCATGGGCTCCCTCCTCGCGCAGAGCCAGCAGTTCTTCCCAACAGAGCAATCCCAAGACCCCGCGTGTAGAGCGGAGCAGATCAAACATTCCTCAAATATCTCCTTTATTCTCAAGTTCTGGGGTGATAGCCCACATTCCACCACTGGTCTCGGATATTAAAGAGGTGGGTTTGCTTTGGGATCAAAACCCTCCGGCGGAGATTTTTGTAGCTGCCTCAAAAGATTTTTGGACAAACATTTCCCTTTAATTGCAATGGGAACTGGGCATCCATATGCCCCGCAGAGCCATGGAAAATGCAACTTATAAGGGATTGTGCAGAGAAGAAAGCTACAGCAGCTTAGCCAAAGCATTTATACTTCTTCAAATCTTCACATCCTAAAAAATWGTTATATTTTGGTTTACTAAAGTTGATTGGGAACAGACTTTTTGTAATACTKAAATAAACCACTTTTAAAATGAAACTTGAACATCTAAAGAGGATTTGCGTCTTTTCTACACATGCAAGCTGCTTTGTTGACCTTTCTTTTGTGCAATATTTTCCTACACATGCTTCTCAAGCCCCGCTACCACAAGGCTCCCTCCATACCTGTGCACAGCCCACACTGCTCTCAAAGCCAAACTTCGGCGCCCTGAACCCTCTGTTGACGCTGCCAGGACGGCTGTGATGCCTTAGAGAAATTAAATATTACTTTCTTTGCAGTAACTCCCACAAAAAGGTGTTCAAACACCCAGGGAGCTGGTATTTCTTATGGATTAGCCATAAGCTACATCACACGCTCGATCCCGGGAAGTGTCCTGGTAGGAACCGTGTGCTTGGGGACCTTGGGAAAGGCAGAGAAAGGCTAGGTCTGAACAAAGAGCAGCAAGTAAAAAGAAACCCTGAGCCAAGAAGAAAGCAAAAGCAAAAATTAATGCCCTTCAGGAATCAGATGTGGGGGAGCTGACAAAGAATGACGGGAGGCAGAGGGTTCTGCCACAAGGCTCACGAAAAATGAAGGGAAAAAAAAACTATTCAATTGAATAGGGCTATACAAGAGCAAAAAGATGAAAATAAAAAAGAACTACCAAAAAAACTTGCAAGGAAGTATCTCATGTGCCTTCTCCTCTATGTTTTCACACAGAACTTGATCAGTGCCCAAAGCCYAAAATGCAGAAAGGAAGGTGGGTGCCAGGGCAGGATGGTGCCCAGGGCTGCGCACGGGGAGGATGAGCAGAGCAGTTTGTGCCACAGAGCTGCAGCTTCACCGCGCGCTCCTAGCGCTCTGCRTCCCCTCTATCCCCTCCCAATGCATTGAGCGGGACCTTGCTGTTTGGGAAAACACGCTTATTGCAAGTGGCAGATTCCTTGACAAATTTTAAACCTTATATATATATTTGCAATGCATATATGCAATGTATATATGTAGAGCAATGCATTACACGCTTATGTGTATATATAGGCATGCAAAATGCATATGAGCATGCGTGCACTGTACTCATATATTCACACAGGGGCCAGCCACATCCACGTGGATGCAAGTGCTGGGTTAATTAGCGCTTCCCAGCGAGCCCACGGCGAGCGCTGCCCCGCTCCGCGGAAACGCCGGCTTTGGCTCGGCCGTGCTCACGGAATCAGGCAAGAAGGGGTAGTCTAAATTTCCCTCTGTTTTAGGCAGCACTCGCTACCTTTAACTCCAAGCAACGGCTCATTTTTGCATTATGTTTAATTCATTTAAAAAAAAAAATAACTCTCTTGGGTACAAATTGGTAACGAGGACAAACCTCAAATAGGAGGAACAAGACAAGAGATGCTGATTTATGTACCGCAACATCCCATCCTCTTATGTATGGCAACGCACAGTATTTTATGTATGAAGGAGGCAAATGGTTTTATGCAAAGTTCAGGGAACTTTGCTAACATAAACTTCTTATCTTTTGATGATCCTTTTAATATAAAATAATCTCTCTTTTTTTTTCCCCTCCCACAATGAAGCAGTCAAACATTAAAAAGATAGTGAGTGCATTTTAAAGATGTTTCCACTTTATAAATCATGTTTTCTTGGCAACAACATGATTTCTATTTCAATGCTGAGCTTGCTGTGCTCTCCTAATGTCTCCTACAGATCAGTCCTAAGAGGGAGTAATAATCCCCCAAAGTAATTCTCAGTCCTAAATTCTCGATAATTTATAGTCGCCTCGTTCCGTGGCGCTCCACAAAAAAAAATGAAACAAATGACTCCCTCTCTCCCCCCCAGCAAGTTATCAATATTTGCCTTGTTTATACAAAAAGACCATTTTACACCATTGCCATAGAATTAACGCTTCCGCTGAGCTTTACGTTTCSTCTCCACTGAGTGAACTTGTCATTAAAGTTGCTTTTTGGGTTTGAAATTTAAAAATTAGTCCTCTATCCCTTTTTGTTTGTGCCCCTTGAGGTCAGACAGACCAACATATAAGTGTTTTCAACTAACTGCATTCAGGGGCATCTCCGTGCCTGCTGGGAGGGGGATTAGAGGCCTAATTAGTGCCTGCAATTAGCCGCTTTCCTTCCCCCCCACTCCCCAACGCTAAATGCAAGCACACATGAACCTCCATTAACCACCATTTTTTAATTGGGTCAAGGAGAGGTTTATTATTGCTACCGTTATTTAAACGTCTGGGAAGAAATAARATCTGCAGCAAAGCATCGCTTGCATTTCATAATTCGCATTATGATGGGCCGCACGGTTGCATTTTGGGGCTGCTCTGCGCAGTCCCAGCCGAGCCGCACGCTCTGCTCCCGGGCCACGGCCGCCCGCACCTCCGCGGCGGCCACGGCCGGGCRTTTTCCTGCACTTCTCATGCTAATGGTTTTGTTCATTTTTTCCCCCACTCTTTGCTGCTGGGGGTGGCAGCGAGATGGAGCCGTCCCAGACGGCAACATCGTTCCCACCGGCGCTGCACGCACCGCTCTGGCTTCAGGCTGCCCGGTCATGCCAGCAAGAAACAAACCGCTCTTTGGTTTCATGTTATTCACCAAATTTTCAGCCTCAGGATTAACATTTATAAATTTTCTTCCTTTATTTCTTTTTCTTTCTTTGCTAGTACAAATTAAAAACACTCTGCTAACCCACTGACGCTGCCCTAACTTTTGTCTATAGAAAATCTGGCTCGATAATTCAAGTAAGGAAGTTTCTTGTGCCCTAGGGTCATCCCCAGCCGCTCCGTTCCCTCCATACGATCCCGCACGTCGGACACGGCCACACCACCCGTTCCTTGGGCAAAGAATGTGGGACTGAGCCCTATACATATGGATTTGCTTAAACAATCCACATTAAGACCTACAAAGAGATAACATGCACATTTGGGATGTTTAGGGGCTAGATATTCAGTAAAGATATAACACACCCCGCACAGACACGCTCAGATACTATAAATTAAGGGTAAAATATCTGAGGTCTTGATCTTCCCGTCTTAGCCGACTTAGGTAGCAGAGCTAGCGCGGCGGATCTGGCTCCCCGCTCTGGCAGATGCTGCGGAACAAGCCCCAAGGTTTCACATCCCAAAACATGGAGCTACCTGTACAACTGCCTCACAAAAATAAAAACAGGCAAGGGAGAAAATAAATTGAACAGCACCGGGGCACAAATCACCTCGGTGGGACACTTGGGCAAGATCTTGGTTATTAGGTTTTGGGAGAAAAAGAGACAGATACTGTTCGTTGCCACAGAGCCCCGGGAACCCCTTCACAGCTCCTGCAGGTGAGCTTGGGAACGGGTCTCCACCCGGAATGGCATACGGAGCACCATACTCCTGCTCCTATCCCCACTGCGAGCAAGGAATCCCCTAGCCACCACGCACCGAGGAGCAGGGATGCAAGGAAAATTTTAAACAGAAAAACAAAACAAAAACAAAACAGAAAATAACAAAAAAGCTTTGGATACGTGGATTTTTTTCCCCCCTCCCACCTCCAACCACTTCCCATTTTTTTCAGTTATCCTTTTCTGCACTTCCCTGGCAAACTCGAGTATAAAACTGGTCATTGAAGAACAGGGTGGAACAAAATAGCTGTGCTTGAATTAAATGGATTTTCAGACCTAATCCTCACTCTTTCTGTTCCGCGGCAACAAGAACCACAGGAACCAAGGGCAGAGATTTCAGCTATTTAGGTTGGGAAGAGCCTGACAGGCACTAAAGACTTYCAGCTTCTGGGCTGCTCGTCCTGCTCCACCTGAGCAGGGTGGAAAGGGAGATCTGAGCAGCTCCGGCGTCAGCTCCGGCAGAGCGGCAGCTCTCCGGGAAGCTGCCGGGCTCCCTCCCGCTGCAACCCAAAAAGTGCTTCCAAGGAAAGGCAGAGCTTTTGCACATCCAACAACCCCAAAAATAATGATGGTTCCATCTCTTACAGTTTTAAGGCTAAAATTATATTCCAAGCCTTCACATTGCTAGAACTATTATTCTAAGCGTTCCAGCTCAGGTCTCAGTGCCCTGTGCAGTAAATCACTCCTGGAAAAATCATCAGAGTGGAGCCATTATAATGCTAACAGCTAAAAAAAAAAAAATATATATATATATATATATATATAAACAAACAAACAAAAAAAGAAGTATCACAAAAGAGTTTTGAAAATAAGTCTAGACAGAAATTTCTTTCCTGAATCTATAGCCTTGTCATTGCCACACTCAGAAAGTCAGTCAGACAGAGGCACGCTTTGCACACGAAAATGATCCCACCAAAATTTGCAATCGAAATAACATTTAAAAATAAAATGCCTGCAACAACTCTATAATATTTGGAAAGGTTCAAGGTGGAACAAACAGGAATATTTCACATGGAGGAAAAGAAATACCCGTTCGTGGTGCATTTTCACTAACCTGCCTGCTTTGGTTATTATCATTTCAGTGCCGGCTTCATGAAATTTCTTCCATAGCTCTTTCTCGTGGAGATAGACTTTGATGTTTTCTATTGTCTGGGGGGAAAAAAAGAGAATAAATTATTATATTATACATGAATCTTATTATAAATTTTTATAAATTAAAAAAAAATAAATAAATGCAACGTCCAAAAACCGCAGGAGCGGCACCAAACGCCCGCCCTCTGCCAAAAACGGGAGCGACAAACTGCTCCCAGTTCAACTGCGGATTCACGTCCAGGCGCGGGGAAGTTTTCGCGGGAAGCAAAAGGAATGCAGATTCCGCTGCTCTCCGCCAAAAAGCAGCGCCCGAGAAATGTCCTCCCGATCTCGGCGGGCAAAACCGCCCCGACCTCGCGGTGATTTTTTTTTTTTTTTTTCCGGGGGAAAGGGGACATAAGGGAAAGCGCCGCCTGGCCGGACCCTGCCCGCGAGGAGCCGCCTCGCGTGGCAGCAGCGGAATCGGCGCGCCCGACAGCRGGCACGGAGCAAAGGCGTTTTGCGAGACATAAAAACTAAACTAAAATAAAGCGGAATAACCAAAGCGGCAAATGCTTTGTACTTCCCTCCACGGCTTGGGGCCGAAGAAGATGCGCAGCCAGCGAGCTGAAAGTAAATTCGGTGCCAAGGAGAAAAAGAACAGAAAAAAAAAATAAACGGGTATCGGAGGGAAGGGGGGCGCGGGTGGCTCGTACCTGTTCGGGATCGGGGCCCTGCGGGCTGCTCACACCGGCTACACCGAGAACCGGGGAGCCCGCGGCCGAGTCGGCATGGCCGGGGGCCGCGGCCGCTGCGAACCCTTCCTCGCTGTCGGCCAGGCTTTTCTCCTGGAGCATTTCCTGGGGACAGAGAGGTGCGCGGTTAGCAGCAAGCACCCGCGATCACGTCCAACCCGCCCCTCTATTCCCCTCACCGGGCACCTCCACCTACCGGGCCCAGGCGGCCTTGGATGGCGGGGGGTACCCGGCCCGAACCGGGCCCGTCCTCTCGCCAAAACGCGGCCGTGTTCTCTGAGGCCAGGGCAACTCATTTCAGCTGTGACCCGCAGGTCGGAGGTTTCCACCTTCCTCCCCACCCCCGCAATTTAACGCGTCGAGGCCGGTACCTGTCGACCCGGCCCGGTGGAGGGAGCCGGGGCCGCGGGGGGAGCGCTGCGGCAGAGCCGGGCTGCGTAAACACGCGGAGTGCAAGGCTCCGAGATAAAAGGGCCCCTCTTAAACTTGGACGGAGACTGGGAAAAGCCAATAAAGATAAGGCCTGACAGCTCCGCCGGGGCTGCCGCGCATCAACGCCGACTTTTACTGCGCGGAGGGACGTGGCCGCCCGCCCCGTCGCCTGCCCGATAGCCCGGCCCGCGGAGCGGCGTGGCCCGCAGGGCGACGCCGAGGGGACTTTTCCTGTCAGGGACACGAGGGAAACCCGTGGGCAGCATGTGGGGTATCCCCCCGACGGAGCTCCCACCGGTCCTGGGGCTGCCCGCGGGCAGAGGTTTACAGAAGGCGCGGAGAGAGCTTTACATGGGAGCCGGGGCTRTATGTGCGGGAAATACATGCCCTATGCGTGAAGGCCGTGTACCAGCGACGGCAGCGCGGCCCGGCCCCCCGAGGGCAGCGCCCCTTTCACTCGCAGCCGTGGGCCGGAGCTCGCGGCGGAGCGTCGCGCTGCGATGCGGCTCCCCGAGGAGCGCAGGTGGGAGGCGRCGGCGCCGACCCCCGAGGGGAGAACGGGCAGAATCCGCCCGGAGCAGCGGAGTCCAGCAGGGCCGGGGACCCTCGCGGGGCACGCGCGGCTCGGCCGGGCCCAGAACGGGCTCCCCCCGAGGCGCCACCGCTACCTGCCCCGTGGGCGCGGGGCTGCCCCGTCCCCCCCCGTGGGCGCAGGCACTTACACTGCTGGCCGGGGGGCAGGAGGCGCAGCTGGGGGCTCGGCGCTTCGCTCGGCGGCGGCTGCGGCATGAAGGGCGGCGGGGGCAGCGCGGGGCCGCACGGGGCTCAGCGGCGGCCCGGTGGAGGCGGCGGCGGCCGGGGCATCCCCCAGCGCACCGCTTCGCTTGCCCTTGATCTCCTCGGGAAATGTTCCATGGAGATCCAGTTTGGGGCCTTTCGACTCCCTCCCTCTTTGTCTCCCCCCCCTCCCTTTTTCCTTCCCCTCCTGGTGCTGACGTTGCCGCTGTCAATCACGTCCCCAAAGAGCAGCTCTGGCCCCTTCCCGCTGCGGCCCCGGCCCGCGCCCTCCCTGCCGCCCCCACGGCCCGGCCCGGCCCGGCTCGCCCGGACGAACCGAGCCCCACGGCCCGGCCCGGCTGCCCGCAGCGAGCGGCGCCCAGGCCCGGCCAGGCCTCTGTCGCGCTGCTTCGGCCTGTTTCTCCAGAGGAGGCCCCGGGGGAAGGGATGTTTTTTTGGAGGAGGGGGGGCTTTGCCCCGCTATCCCCTCCAGGCCCCGAAGGCCCCGGGTGGCGAGGGGGTGCGGGTYTCGGGGAAACGAGGCCGGGGAGGCCCGAGCGGGCGCGACGGGGCTCGGGTAGAGCCCCACGGCCTCGGGCCTCCCACCGCYGCCGCCGGGGGAAGGAGGCTGCTCTGGGGGGCAGCGGCAGAACCGGGTCGGTGCAAGGCAGGGTGGCACAACTGCCCCCTTTCTGCCTCCACACCTGGGCTGTGTCGCCCCCGAGGAGGAAGCAGCGAGGGAGCCGCGGCCTGGCCCGGCCGCCGGGGCCGCCCCGAGGTAAGAGCGGAGCCCCGAGGCACGGTCCCCCCTCCCGCCCCCGGTGTCCCCTCCCGCCACGGGCGCCGCTAGCGCACCCGAAGTCGAGGGGGGAAACCCAACCGCTTCTGTCGCAACTTAATGGGCCGCCTCAGTTCTGCTGTTGTGATTCCCCGCAGGAGAAAGTGTCCCGACAGCAAAGCTTYGGGGCCCCAAGGGAGATTTTTCCAAACGGGGCCAGGCAGCGCGAGAGCCCCATGCAAGAGCCTCACGTAGTATCGCGACAGTCCCACCTGGCACTGCTCTGTGTCGCGATAACGGCGACTCTACTCTCTCCCATCCCACTCTCACAAAGTCTCCCCCACGGGCCGCCGCCGCCTTAGGGGGCAAGAGGGGTTGATTTTGTTGTTGTTTTGTCTTGGGTTTGGAGTGGGTTTTGGGGGTTTTTTTTCGTTTCGTTTTTGTATATGTGGTGTTTTTTCTTTTTCTTTTTTTTTTTTTTTTTCTTAACACGAGCTTTTCTTGAAAGTTAATTTAAACTCGAACCCACCTCACCTCAAGTGGTGCTGAAATTGGGAACAGGAGCATAATAATAATAATAATAATAATAATAATAGTAAAGTAGCCGAAGGTCAAGGTATTAATTAAGCATTTTTGCATTCTCTCTTACGAGAAAAAAAAAAATAAAATAAGAAAAAAAGCCCGGGCCGGGAGGCTATGAGCGAGGAGTCGGCGAGCAGCTCTCAGAAACGCCGTTGGGCCGAGCGGGGCCCGGAGCAGCCGCATGTGAGCGCGGACCCCGACGTGCGCACGGCCGGGGGGGCCAGGCGGCCCCGCACAGCACAGCGCTGCGCCGAACCCTGCGGTGGGAGCTGTCCCCGGTGCGGCCTTTTGCTTTTGTCTTTCTGCCGCAGCTGAAGCGGTTGCTGTCGGGGAGGGCACATCGCCGTGGCCCCGCGCCGGAGCCGGTTCCCTCAGGCCGGCGCACGCAGGAGGGAAGGCCGGGACCGGCCCCCGACGGGCAGCGCAGCYGCGGAGCCGCCTGCAGGGTCCCAGCTCCGGGCTCCGCGGACAAGAGAATTTCTGCGGTCGCTCCTACGGCCCCGTTTTTTGGGGTCTCCCTGCACTCCTTCCTGCTGCAGCCGCCAGAGAAGAAAGCAGGGAGATTTCGTGCTCTTGCTTATGTTAAGTGAATTTTCTCTCTTGAACA